ATGGTGCGCAGTTTTGATTGTCACCATACTGACAATGACCACTTTCTTCACTTGATTAAAGTATTCCTGCTAAGTTTCTATGTTGTAAATTATTCTTTCCCTTTTGTAATTAATTAATAAGTGTTTTATAGGAAGGTACTTTGAAATTATTTCAATATCCTGTTCTTCAGATTGTTAATTTATAATGTCAATATGGCCTCACCGATTTTTATTGGAGATGTTGTAATCTGTTACAATCATTATTTATTTTGATTCTCAGCTTATCTCCAGTTTGGTGAATGGAGTCCTTCAAGCTGGTTTCTGTCTTTTTGTGACATATCCTGTCAGTCCGTGATCATTTCCTTGCTTTCTAAAAAAACAAAACTAGATGGTTCAAGTTCATTTTGTGCTTTCCTTCCACAGATCTTGAATTAACCGTTTCTCTTTTTTAGTGGATAATAGTATATAGATCTGGTCATTAGACATTAGGTGTTAGGTTATTGCTGCTCCCAGGTTCTGTCAGTATACAGAATTAGGAATACATTGTATACACATAGTGACATATAAGTATATATTTGAATGAGAGTTTATATTTAAATGTACTTTTATATATACCTATATTTAGTGACGCCATGAATTCACACAGATACTCTAAATTTCAAGCCATTACCTGAAAGTTTTTTTTGTTTTCTACTTAAATGCCTTCTTCATCCTGGATTTCTGTACCTTGCTCTGGATCAGTGCGGCCTCCAGTCCTATTGCACATGCTTTCCTTGATCTGTTCCAGTTAACTGCTTCCATTCTGACTACTTAAAGAAGGTCTGGGAAAAGGGCCCTTTTTCTCTTTAAAGCATGGTGTTTTCATATTATGGTCATAATGGGAAAATAACTGATTATATTTGTAACACAATTATAATTGTCTGATAAGAGCTCTAAACTTTAAGCCTGATTACATTTTACTACAACTTTTACAGTTCTTTAGTAGTAATGAGGGTGATGGAGATGGTCTCCTATGATTTGTACCCTTGGAACCAAGCTACAGTAGGGCCCTTCATTCTTAGTATTCATTTTACCACAAGCAAATCATTATACTCAGACAGTGTGTTTAGATTATTTAGTTTTTAACATTATGGAACAGATGGAGAAGAAAAGAATCTAATCGCATGGTGCGCAGTTTTGATTGTCACCATACTGACAATGACCACTTTCTTCACTTGATTAAAGTATTCCTGCTAAGTTTCTATGTTGTAAAGTTATTCTTTCCCTTTTGTAATTAATTAATAAGTGTTTTATAGGAAGGTACTTTGAAATTATTTCAATATCCTGTTCTTCAGATTGTTAATTTATAATGTCAATATGGCCTCACCGATTTTTATTGGAGATGTTGTAATCTGTTACAATCATTATTTATTTTGATTCTCAGCTTATCTCCAGTTTGGTGAATGGAGTCCTTCAAGCTGGTTTCTGTCTTTTTGTGACATATCCTGTCAGTCCGTGATCATTTCCTTGCTTTCTAAAAAAACAAAACTAGATGGTTCAAGTTCATTTTGTGCTTTCCTTCCACAGATCTTGAATTAACCGTTTCTCTTTTTTAGTGGATAATAGTATATAGATCTGGACATTAGACATTAGGTGTTAGGTTATTGCTGCTCCCAGGTTCTGTCAGTATACAGAATTAGGAATACATTGTATACACATAGTGACATATAAGTATATATTTGAATGAGAGTTTATATTTAAATGTACTTTTATATATACCTATATTTAGTGACGCCATGAATTCACACAGATACTCTAAATTTCAAGCCATTACCTGAAAGTTTTTTTTGTTTTCTACTTAAATGCCTTCTTCATCCTGGATTTCTGTACCTTGCTCTGGATCAGTGCGGCCTCCAGTCCTATTGCACATGCTTTCCTTGATCTGTTCCAGTTAACTGCTTCCATTCTGACTACTTAAAGAAGGTCTGGGAAAAGGGCCCTTTTTCTCTTTAAAGCATGGTGTTTTCATATTATGGTCATAATGGGAAAATAACTGATTATATTTGTAACACAATTATAATTGTCTGATAAGAGCTCTAAACTTTAAGCCTGATTACATTTTACTACAACTTTTACAGTTCTTTAGTAGTAATGAGGGTGATGGAGATGGTCTCCTATGATTTGTACCCTTGGAACCAAGCTACAGTAGGGCCCTTCATTCTTAGTATTCATTTTACCACAAGCAAATCATTATACTCAGACAGTGTGTTTAGATTATTTAGTTTTTCTTTCAGTTTATATACACTTTTCCTTTGAGTTTATATAATTTTGAGGTTGTAGAATGGCAAAATAAAGATTTCAAGTAGTTACACAATTCTTCCTTATTTAGTCTTTTACTACATTTCAGATTTGATCCTGTTGCTTTCTTGAATTTATCCATTGTATTTTCTTAACAGTCAGGTCTCAAATTCTGGCTGGCTATGGTTGTTAAGATGCCTTTGATTATTAAAAATGCATTGTTTTTAGAGGGTCTGCTACCATGTGGAGAAATACACATCTTACCATGATGGAATAGGTTGTTATGGAAAAGAATTCTTACTTAGAGATTTTTTAATTGCTTTTTCAAAAATAAGCCCATGATTGCTATCTTTCTTTGCCTGACTTGTAAAGTTTCTCTCAATGTCCTCCAATCAGAGACCACCATGAATAAACCTTGGTTGAATAAGTTAGCTCAGTGAGGGAGAATGCACACAGTGGGGAAACTTGGTGCATCTCAGTAACAGCATACTAGAAAAAATTTATTAATAAGATTTAAGCTTAGGTGATTTTTGGGGAGGGATTAAGAAAGTAGGGCTTCCTTTTGAGTTGGATACTGTTAGGAAGCCTGAGTAATTCTATGATTAGCCATCTTAATAAATTTTGTCGAGAAGCATGGAAAACATGACTGAGGCTAAAGCTACAAGTAGAAAGAAACAGCTGTCATTCATATTAAGGTTTGGGATGTTTGATTATCTTTTTTATTTGGATGGAGTTTATGGTTTTGTCCCTTGGGACATGTTTACAGAGTAATATTGTTCTATGTCGATTCATCGTGGTCACAGCATTGCTTTGTCTGATGTTGATATTTTGTGAAATTGTTTATAGTCAACAAGAGAACACCAAGATGTAGTTTGTGGATTCTGTGCCAGCACCTAACAATACCAGAGCCTAGTTGGTATTACCAAGCCAACTCATGGATATCAGAGGCTGCTTTTTTACCTTCTCGTCTATTTCTACCACCCATCCTCTTGTATCTCTTTTTCATCTATCTTTCTGTCTTTAAGGTACTTATGGTTATACCCATGCCTGAAGTTTTGAGAACAGATGAAACTTTTGAGCATCAGACCTCTGATCGTGCATAGATTCCAGGATCTTTCCCGACCCTCTCCCTTCCTTGTTTATCAGCTTTGAATATTCTTTGTTTCGTGTGCTGACTTTCTTGGTCTGCCCCGCTATAGAATTGTTATGTGATTTTGGTCTGTAGTTATCCCAAGACTAACTTGGCATCCTTTTAGGGTCTTCAGAACCTGAAACTTTACTTCCTGAAATTGCAGCTGCAAGCAAGATGTACACACTTCCTATACCTGTACATTGTAGGTCATTAGGATACCGTCCCAGGTGGATTCCAGTGACTCTCACGGTCCCTGTGTAACAGAGGAGCATTGATACTGTATGTGTCTGTTCTTTTCCTCCTCCTACTCCCTGTTATTGGCCTTAGACAGCAAATGGCTCTTGGTTTCTTCAGGTCCCAGCTTCAATTGAATGACATTCTCTCCTGTTTATCCTGATTCCTACATGGGAGCTTTATCTTTCCCCTACTTTCTTGAACTTGTTAGAACTCTTCAAGCTTCAGTAAGTTATCCTCCAAATTAGTCTCCTAGACTCACTCTTTCAAGACTTGTCATAATGTAATTGTTTCTGTTCCTGTCTGTTATTTGAGTTTGTTAGAGTTAATTTCTTGGTTACTATTTTTCTCTTGCCAAGTAAAATTTATAAGCACAGTTATTCATTAAAAATATAAAGATGATGATTATGTATAGGACAAAATAGTTTGAATATTTTATACTGTAAGAGTGAACTGGCTATTCAATATAATAAATACACAAGATAATTTAAGGGTATCTGGAGTATTCATTGGAGAATAAAATAAGATCACTTAGTGGGAATTAATTTTCACAGTAGTTTGAACAAAGATAGGGACATAAAATTGTAGGAAATAGAGGTAGAAGTATATAACAGGTGGAAAGATTGACCAGGGTAAATGGGGATGCATAAGGGAATAATTTCTGCAATTAACGTCAGTTGAGGACCTTCTGTTGTCTGGTTCTCAATGCTCTAGAGATAGATGGATGGAAAAAGAGGTCTCTACTTTCAAAACAATTAATATAGTAGGAAGAAAGGCATTAAAAATCAATTAAGATACAATGTAACAAATGCAACATCAAGTTATATGCTAATTACAATGACACATGAGTGAGTATAAATTCTGCATGAATCATTTAAGAAAGGTTTTTCAGGTGTTCACTGGATTACATTTGCTTCACCCGATTCTGTCAGTGTGTAGAAGTTATTTGGTGACTGAATAAGGACAGTTTTCATGGTAATGGAGGTATATCTATTTAAGGCTACATATGTAATTAGCTGTTCCTGTTTTTTGCTTCAAGTAAAATAAATTTTTACTTGTAAATCTATATTGCCACTTGGTATTGAATAGGAGGAATTGTGACCCCAATTTGGTAAATCAGAGTTTACTTTTCTATTATTTCTTCAGCCTATGGGTGGAAGGATTGCTTGGCATGATAATCCAAACTTGTAACTCAGATTACATATTAAATGATTGAAGAAAACCTTGATTTTTAATGTTTATGCAAATTATAGTGGGCATTTAAAAATGTATTATGAGTCTTTTTTATTGTTGACTTTGTATAAAGATATCCTTTTTTGTTTGAACCCTTGTCTCTAAAAGCAGAAGATTTCTGTTTAATGGTTATTTTCTTTTATAGGTCGTAGATCATCCAATGCAAAATTGCCCTCGGTTCCAACAGTTGGTTCAGTTCCACAAGACCAAGTTTCAAACATGAGGTATTCAAGCTTCTAACTTGGATATCTGTATTTATTATTCTTGATGAATTTTTAAACTGCCTATAGCTACAGTTATTTCTTTTCTTTCTTCCCCACCCACTTTTTCTTTTTAACTTTTGTTTCTTTTTTTAAAAAGTCTGTATGACATGTAGAGGCTTGGGAGTATTTTTAGAAGTTCCTTTTAAAGATTATGAGATGTAAAATGTTCATGAGAAGTGGCTAGATGTGACTAATGAATGCTGCAAGCATAACAAATAATTACAGAGGTAGTTTGTAGCTTATGGCTTTTGTTTTGTATGATTGTAAACTAAAAGTTTGGAATTCATTGTTCCTCTTCCATAAAAATGCTGAAAAAATAAGTTTTAGCCAGTTAACCAAAACCATAATGATACTGAACTACAGATAGGTTTTTACTGTCATTAACCCTGTGTAATTGGGACTATGCATTTCAAATTCTAATTTAGAATGCCATGAATATTTTCTACTATTAGAGTCTTTGTGGCCAGCATTCTTGATCCTCCTTACTACAACTGGAAAATACATAGCTCTCCACAAATACAGGCACTTGGGTGCTGCAGTGTAGGCTTGTAGTTGTGATATTGTCCAGGGGATAAGGGACTATGAGATGAATAGAGAGGAATAGTATTAAGGGTAGTAGCTGGGAGGAGATAGTTATTGACAGCAGAAATTTCCAGCACTTTATAACAGTTGACAGTTTCTATAGCAATTCTTGTTGGTAATATGAATGGGAAGTACTCTGTGAGTGAATAGTAGATAATATAGTAGCTGTTTGTTTATATGTTTGGTTTATAATTGAGAAATGATAGCTGTCAATATCTCTGAATTTCCTGAAATATAAGGGGCTTATTTTTTTAACTCATTAAATTTATATGTTTATGTGTATATATGTGTTTACATGTATTTACATATATTTATAATACATGAATCACAAAGACATAATGTGTGAATTGAGATCATTATAAATGTGCCAGGAAGTATATTATTTTCAAAGGAATAGGTGTTGAGATTGCTTTATTTAGAAAGGTGTTATAGAAGAAATGTCAATGAAAAAGAATATACAATGATTCTTTCAGTTTATAAATACTTATTGAGACTCTAGTATATAGAGTCTGTATCTGAGGACTTAAAAATGAAGACATAGTTCTTGAATTCAAGGTGTTGATGGTTTAGTAGTGAATAGACAAATTTGATAGAGACTTGATAGAGTTTGTTTAGATTATTATGGGGCTAAAATCAAGTGCTTTGAACTGGCCAGGTAAGACTTCCAATAAGAGCTGATGGTAGATGGAGTGGTTTTTAACCACATTAATTGGTCTGTGCTGGGGGTGGCAACATAGAACAGAATGAAAAAGGATATTATGGGCAGAAAGAAGGAATGGTATGCATAGCAATAAAGAGTCTTCAGGTTATTTTATTTTCACTTAATTTATATTTCTGTGGAAAATCATTTTAAAAAGTAGAAATTTGATGAAGTCAGGTCACCAAGCATCTTTCTATTAGTATTACAGAAAGGCTTGAACATGCTTTGGAAAAGGCAGCTCCTCTTTTGCGAGAGATTTTTGTGGATTTTGCACCTTTTCTTTCTCGGACTCTTTTGGGTAGCCATGGACAAGAACTGCTTATAGAAGGAACAAGTAAGTGATTTTTATTAAGTTAATTGTATTTGTATATTACATATTTTTAAACTTCAAGATTAAAAACTTAATGGATAATAAGATGTGTTTAGTTTCAGTGTTTGTTATCAACCTTTGACAAGTCTCAGAGTGTATCTTTTGACGACCAAGTCACAGCTCATATTCTTATCTGTTTAAGATGTTTTATTAGTGATTTGGTTGAAGTAGAAAATTATGTATTGAACCAAAAGAACTAAGATTTTTTTTTTCCCACACATTAACTGTGAGAATAAAGGATTGGATAGACTAGTGTTCTAGTAATTAGTGGGGCATTTATCTTAGATTTTACTTGAACTTAATATCCAAATAAACAGTAGTGTATTGTCACATATTAGGAAATAAGGAATGTATTATTAGTCTCTATTAGCAGAATTGTAATTTATAGTAAGAAAGTAGAAATAACAGTAGTATTGTACTCTTTCCTGACTATACATAGACTACTGTGTCTTTTGTAGCTGGTGAATATTGAAATTGTGTCAGACTAGCTAGCATGCAGTAGTAGGTTGCTGCATGTGTTAGAAATAGAAACCATGCTACTTGTAGAATAGATGACAAGTATTGGGGCTACTTTTTTAAATAAAAAACATGGAGCACTTGCCAGGTAGTGAGTGTCTTCAGATACTAAAAAGGGTGATGCAGCTAAGTAAAAGTAGCCTTACCCTGAATTTCTTCAGACAGTGGATAGCAGTTCAGTCGAGTACAGCTTTTCAAACAGTTAGTTCTGTTTAAGAGCATAACAGACTGACTTTACAATACCAATCTTTGTCACAATATTAGACTTTTTAAAGAAGTTGGGGGACTTTCTTAATGTTAAAGTAGAATTTCTTTTGTATTCAAGATGTTTGCTGTATTAGCTTGTCTGTGTCCATTGTTGATGATTTAGGATGAGGCCCTTATTGATATTTTCCTAAAGCTGAAAAATTATAAGAGAGCACAATTATCTGTACTCTAGTTTTTAAATATCAACTTAAAGTTTTAGTTATAATTTTTTGTTGGGTAACAGTCACTAGATGATACCCTAAGCAATTTCTTAAAACTTGTGAAAAAGCCCCTCTTTTTGTAGAAATAGAATATAATGGAAATGTAAGGTGTAGGTAGGTAAATAGAATAAGATACCTGTATCTGAGTATTAACTATGGACAATAAGCACTTATTTGACCCTAAAATACCTGTTTATAAGTAATAAGCTTTAGCGAAAACAGGGTTTTCATTATCATCTCTGCTATAGTTGTATATGGAGTTGGTGATGAGTGATCTCATTTTTATATAATCAAAAAGTAGTATTGAATTCACTTGAAAAAATTGAGATTTTAGAAATACTATGTTTGGTGTGGAAGTTTATCTGATGAAGGGTATAATTTGTTTTGCTATGGACTGTTTGATCTAATGAAGTAATAAAATTTGAAAGGAAATGAATTGAAAAATCAAAACCCTTCACCCTAAATTATACTTTACATATGAAATACTTATTTTTTAAAATGGTGTGACAACTTATGAACTAGATTTCAGTACTCTAAAATGAATGTATTAATTATAGCTTTCGTTGTAACAAGACATTGTTGCTTTTTAGTTTGTCTTTGAATTTAATAATAGATCCAGCAAGATAGGATCACCTTAGATACTCAGAAGTATTAAACTTGCGAATTCTAGATCATCCTTAAATAACTCATAATGTGTATAAAAAAGATGTTTTCTTACATAATCATAATTGCTGCTTTCACACCTAATAATATTAATGGTAGTTCCATAATGTCATCTAGTGCTCAGTCCATATTCATCTTTACTTAAAAGATGTCTTTTTATAATTGATATTCTTCTGATTAAGGTCCAAACAAAATAGTTTATTGCATTTGGTTATGTCTCTTAAGTCTTTATTAATGTCAGGTAATTTCCCCTATTGTCCATCATGCTATTGACCTGTTAAAATCTGGTAGGTTGGTTCTGTAGAATGGTACGTATTTTGGTACTCTATGGCTATTGTTTCTTGATGGTGTCATTTAACAGTGTCTCTATCCCATGTATTTCCTGATGTCTTGAGGTTAAATTTAAAAGTTAAATTAGATGTAGTACTTCATATTGTATCATGCCTAATCACATATTTTTTGATTGTCTGAACTTTAGTGATGTTAACTCTTTTTCAAGTAGTTACAATGCTTTGTAGGGATTGACACTTTGTTATTTATTTCTAAAAAATTACATAAAAAATAAAGTTTGTTGTATCTTACAATTATCAATGTGAGTTCACTGGACACTTTTTACAAACCTAAGATTCATTATGGAGTGTTATCTTAAAACATTTAGCCATTTCGTCATTACTCACCAATTATTCCAACTATACTGAGGACTAAAATAATAAGGAAACGAGAATACTCGGATTTCCGCTAGAACCATGGTGCAAGAGGAAGACAGATCATCACTCTTGATCATCCTTATTTTGTTATTGCATTGCCCAAAGTAATGCATCATATTTGAAGAAAATACAAATTTGTTTCCTCAATGGGAGCAAAAACTGGTATTTGTGAAGGGAAGAAATATCTTAGATATTACAATGGTTTGTGATCCTCCAGTGGGCCACAATACATCTATACATTATATCTTTAAATTTAAAATTTAATGGGGGTACAATTAGAAATGGTCAGAAATGGCTCCTTGGGCGGGGATGATAATGAAACAAGGCTGAGAAATACTGGTGAAAAAAATGTCTGTGGCTGCCATCTTTGTGGTTTTATTTTTAGCCTTCATTGAATATAGTTAAGAATTCAGAATTTTTCATTTTTTCCCCATATGTTAAGGTGAAAAAATTGGCAGAAGGAGACATTTTACAATTATTAGACCATCTCAGGATGAATTTAAGAAGCAGGCAGCGGCATTCATAGATTTTACTAAACTGTAAGAATTCATTAGTACACAGTGTATTTCTGTGGATAAAAGGAAAATTGGTTTTCCCAGCACATCATTGCCTAGGAAGGACCATGATGTTTTGTAACAGCATTTTGCCACAAAGGCATGTGGCAGTATTCTTCCATTGCTTGTGATGATTATATACACCACAGTTTACTTTGTACAGTTCCTAAGTGAATAAATACTAAAGGTAGGTGTGTATATAAAGATGGATTGGAAGGAAAAGTTGATGTAGAAATGAGAAAATTCAGTGGATTGATCATTGTGAGTGGTATTTGAAAATCTAAAGAGGAAAACATTTTGTAATTCTGAAGCAAAGAAGATGGTTGTCCTTTTCATTTTGAATGAACCTACTTTTCCAAAGTATTGCACTTGATGATGTAAACTCAAGAAGAAAGACCAGAATTAATGGTTAGTCAGAACCTAAAAGTTTATTTGAAATTTGGAATTATTATGTACAAGATACCATGTTTACACATTCATGAGGAACAATTAGTTGTATCCAAAGGACAGTGCTCAAAATCTTCAAAACCAGGAAAATATAGAATAAGAATTTGAGTTATTATGCTTAGGTTATTATTAAGTCTTCTAATAATGTTTATCACCATCCTTTTATCTTTCTGTAAATTATTTAAGGTAACTTAAAAATTTTTTTTTTGTGAAAAGGGTACTTATATTCTGTATGGTACTGACTGTTTTTCATGGTATACTTGAGAGTTTAGATAGATCATTGGATTCAGATGTTGCTAGCTTAATATCTAGTAAACCACTTATGTATTTCTGAGTTTTATAGTAAGGAAAAATAGTAGTAGTAGATGTGGGATAAATAGTCTCTGGTGAAGAAATTACAGTCATCTTTGGTCATGAAACTCCAGAAGAGGATAAAACTCTTGGCTTTTTGGCATTCTGAATTTGTCTTTTTTAAAGAGACAAAAATTATGTATCTCTCTGAAAAACCAAAAATAAAACCAAGCAAACTCAGCACACCTATTATTCTGAGAGGCATTTAAAGAGGTCAGATTGTGAGCCTATTCAGATCTCTGAGCCTACAGAACCCTATTTGCTTTCAGTTAATTGAGGCAATAATAGGATGTATGTGCGTATAAAATGAAAAACTTGTAACAGTTTACAACTTCACTCCAAGTTTTGTTTTAGGGCCTTCCCTTTGATAATTCTTAGAGTCTAAATGTAAATCTGAATACAGATTTACTGGTTCATAATTCATTTCTTGCCTTTTCATGCAAGCAAGCAGTGTTACCCAAAGGCAGACATTTAGGTCAAAAATAGAGAGATGTGATTAAGTTATGTAATCTGATACTAAGTCCCTTATTGGGATTACCTCTTGTTTATTTACTCATGAGGTTATATAGTTGTGTTTACAGAGTCAGTGTTCTTTAGGCAAGGAAGTTAGTATTAGAGGTCTAATGTAAGGTCTCTTTTGTCCTTTGAAACTATTTCAACACATTATCCACGCTGGTTCTCTTTCCCATCCTTTACAAATCTACAAAACCCCACTCAAAAAAACATGTGAATTGTTCTAATCAACCTATGACACATTATTTGATACTTATAGTATCATTGTATGCTCAACTTTTTTTTTAGTGGATCTATTTTTTGCTAAATTTTCACATCAACTAAGTTATCGTCTACCTTCCTCTGGTTTGCTAATCATTATTTTTTATTATTGAAATGAGACTATATTTTGAAATGAGAAAACAATAATTTTTCTTAAAGTGTACAAGTATTGAAGTATTCTGTGATATGTCGTAAAAGGGGCATCCACATATAAATCTTTCTAACTTGTTCATTATATGAGTAGATATAAAAGGCTGAGCCAGATAAGGGCCCAAATGCTTTTCCATAAAAGGAGAGTTGATAGGAATCCTGGTTTCTCTAGAATAGAGCAATAAAGAATAATGACCGAGTTGTAGAAAAATTTGAATTTACTTACTGGAACTAGTAGCTTTTGAAGTTGAGGTGTATGGAACTTAATGTAGCTGCGTTGCATTTTATGAAAAGTGACAAGATTTCAGTGCAGCAGAAGGCTGTACCAGCAGTTAGATGGGAATATTGCTTTTTTTTTAGGCCTTTGCATTAGCCTAAGGAGCTATGCTCATCTAGCTCTACAGAAACCACAATTTAGTCCAGTTAATGAACCAGTAGATGCATTAATGCAACGTGTAGATGTTCTATAGTTAATTTTCATGCCATTGCTGACATGATTCTGTCATTTCTATGTTACATATTTTCTCAGACTTTGAGAAAAGTGGTTATAAGTTTTTAAAAAGTGAAGGGGGTGAACAGCCTTTTTAACTTGAATTCTATTTGGAAGGCTAGAGACTGCCAACATGTACTACCAGAAGGTATGAGGCATCATAAATAAAAGAGGAAAGAAGATTAAAGAAATTGAATAGGATGGTATAGGATGCCACAAGAGCTTTAATGGCGAGAAAGAAGGTAATTCTGTAGGGCGTGTAAGGGCCACTAGGAATTATTTTAGCTGTTTAACCCTGTATCCTAACTTGTGCTTGCTTAGGAAAGTGTAGAACAAAAAATTATAATTTTTCTGGTTATTATTAATATAATTAATTTAATGCTTTTAATTATTGGCTTTGCTTTTTTCTAAGATAGTGGTTATAAAATGTTCTTTGAATGAATTATTTTAGATTTTATTGGTAACAAAAGCTAAAAAATTCTTTAGATAGGTATTAACTGCATAGAATCCTTCTTGAGATATTTTTGGTGAACCCAAACAAAACATAAAAGAGAAAATGTAAATAAATTTATAAGAAATCAAGAATGTATAACTGACAACGGCTTGCACTTTTGTTAAGGTTTAGTGTGAGGTCACAGGTCAAGGTACTAATAAGAGTGTTTGGGATGTCTGCTGCCACGAAACAAAATGGAAACTTGATTGATAGCTGGAGGGTTGAAGGGAGAGAGTGTGGTGGAGAAAGCAAAGGTCAGGGAGCCATTTCCCTTCTCTGCATGTATAATAATCAACTCTCTCCAAAACAAAGTGTAGATGATATTGATCAATATGGCATATGTTGCCCACATTTCTATGAGTATTGTGAAATGTCATTATATATGAAGTTGTAATGTTTTAGTAGTTTAGAAGCTGAAATGAAATCGTTTACTGAAAAATTGTGATATTTTTGATGCCAAGCTTATAGTAGTCACTGTGTTTGTATGATCAAATGTGTATGGGTTTGGTTCTTAACAAACGTTGAATTTTATTTTAAGAACCAGTGTGGACAAAGTTGTATAACAAATCCTTCATTTTTTGTTTTTTACTTTGTAATTTTTTAAAATTCTCTTTAAAATAGGTCTGGTTTGCATGAAGTCTAGTAGTTCAGTTGTGGAGTTGGTTATGCTTCTGTGTTCCCAGGTGAGTGACAAGAATGTTGAATTAAAATAAATTCTCACATTTTAGTTTATTTTGTAAGGAAGTTATAATTATTTTATTAGAAAATTTTGCTATTGTAGAGTTTTGAGTTTGCAGTTTTAAAATTTATTCTTATTGTAAAAGAATTACTTGTCTTTGAAACTAGTGGATTATTTTGAATTGAATGCTGAGAGAAATCAGGTAGATGAATAAGAAAACAGGTTTTTACAGTCCAATTAAAAAATGTTCAGATCAAATGATCTTGCGAAGGCTAAATTTCTTTGCTGTGTATATTAAGGTTATGGAAACAGATTTATTTTTATACCTTGCGGAGTGCCACTCTGTCTCCCCTAGGAATAATGGGTTTACTTCCCTTTTGTGCAGAGGTTATAAAATGAGTGATAAATAATTTTGAATTCTTGTCACTGCTAATTATTTTTGACATACAGAGTAGATTTGTGAAAATATCAACAAAAATATGGCAGCTATCATAATAAAGTGCAGTAGATAAATTCCTAAAAGCAAAATTGCTTTCAATGTAAAGCAGCCTTATATCTTATGTGGTAAACTAATGTTTTTTAAAAACTTACGTAAAAAATCGTGTATCCTGTGGTATTTTTTTCTTTTTGTTTTGCAGTTAAACAGATAAATGTTTTCATTGAGAGTTCTCTTTGTAGTCTTTTAAAAATGATATCTTGCTGGTAGTAAATTCCCCTACTTAAAACTTTAAAATAGCCTTTTTTAATAGGAAGGGTATTGGTCTAGAGGTCAAGGGTTCTGACCCATTTCAAAACCTTTGACCTTCATTTACAACTCTTGTGGTTTACTTGCCTGACGAATAAGGATAATGCAAAATTAATGTTTCTTTGCATCGATTTATTCATTTTAGTGCCTGTATTGCCAAATTTATTTAGACTGTGCTGATGGACATTTCATGAATACAAATTAAAGAATCATAGAAGGTGTGAAAAATCAATATTATGCATTGTCAATAAAATGCGATGATAACACTTACTTCTTGGGATTACAACTAATGAATTTTTATAATGAACTAGTGAGGAGTAGTTATGTTTCTATTGGGCTTATTATTCTTAGGTTTAGAGAGAATTGTTTTTATAATTTAATCCTCTCCTTTAGAAAACTCCATTTCTTTAAAAGATGACTGGATAAAATTTCTCATTACTTTAATCTGATTGGAATAATCTGATTTGAAATAATTGGTTGTTTATTTCTTAGATGAAAATGGTCATATGTCATTCTTATATCAACATGAAATTACTCTTACTTTTAAGAAGCATTCACTTACAGATTTGGGTGTTTCTTAAGAGGAGTATGAATTTATGAATTTGTTGTTTTATAGTGATATAATTGTGTCATAGGTGAATTTTGATAATGAAGTTTCACTTCTAGTTCAGAAGAATTGAATATATTCTTGATATGTGATGCTTTCAGATATATTACATAGTTGAGTGCTAGAAGCTGAAAAGATAAAGAATGACATGTTTTAATATACCTATTTGTCATGTATGTCACAGTGTTGTTTAATACTAATCCAATCAAATGAGATATGAAAATCACTTAGTAGAATAAGTTGCTTAAGTCAGATATTTTCAATATTTTTGTTTGAAAGAAACATTACTGGTTATTTCAAGTTAAGATTTTTTTGTGAGTTCTTCAAAAGTTCCATGGCATCTCTATAAGATGTAGCACAGTGTGAAAAATGATGTGAAAAATGAAACCAGAATTAGCTCCAGATGTATACAGATTGTTCCGGGGTGATAATTACATTTTTCACTTTGAATTTTCCTAATTCAAAGAGGTCAGATTGGCAATCACAGAAGTGATTTATTTTGTTAAGAAGTGAACTGTCTTTTCTACATGAAAGCTCAAGAGATATGAAATTGAATTTGAAGTTGACATTTTGCAGATACTGGGTGGGGATGGCTTGAGTTTGATTGATAATTTTTTTTAGTTTGAGATAGGGTGGGAAGTGAAAAGCTATCATCTTGCTAAAATTTTAATTAATTTTTTAAGAGGAGATGGAGAGGATCGAGTGCCAAAGATCGAAAGATCAGGTCAAAAACTCCTTTTTAATCACATAAATAATGGGATATGCTTATGAACTTAACATCTGCAAATGTGATTTAAAACTTTACAAATTAGTTGGTGTTAATTTCATGACAAACAGCCACATTCTGATTAATTTTCTTGAGTCCACTCAAAACTTTTTTTGCATTCTTTTTAATAAGCTGTTTAAATTAGCCACATTTTATTACAAAAGAGACTTTAGAGCCTAAATTTAAGAAATGAGGAAATGATCACATTTGGTTCACTGTCATTAAGACCAAACAGATCACTATGCATTTTCTTAAAGCTTCAACTAAGATTATATTTTTCAGTATCCACTCAGTAATTAATAGGTTGATTATATACCGTTTCATGTTTTATCCCATTTAAATTTTAACATTTTTAAGATAAAATGTTACTATTTGGAGTTGAAAGGTTATCTTAAAATATTCAGCATTATATTTTCAAGTGAAGTTTTATATATGTGAATTTATATATGTATATACACACACACACACTTAAGGTTTGTTAAATTAGGTTTATTTATATTTTGAATCTCACATTAAAATAATTAAAGAACTACTTAAGCTCCAAAACCTGATTTAAATCTTTTCTATTTCTTTAAAATAAGACTCATACAATTTTCAGGAAACTGTACACTCTCTCAAGCACAGAAAAAATTGAACAAATTCTTAATTATATTTCAGATTCAGTTTTTCACAGACGTGTAACTTAATTTGTGCCCAATGTTTATTGTACATGTGTATAAACATTGTAGAAATTTGAATTTAAAGAAAATATTAAATAATCATTTCAAGTAATATTACTCCAGCATTGTGCAAAGTGTTTAAGTGTTTGTGTCTTGCTCATTTGACATTAATATCATTTTTGAAAGAATTGACACTGCATTCAAGGCCACTTTATAAAAGCATTGCTTTGCTCATCCTAATTCAGTCTGACATACATTCCAATAACACTACCTCCCTTCTTGGGTTTAAAGCTAAATTTATGACTGTGCATTGTGAAGTGCATCATTTAAAAATGGTTTCAACCCAAAACATCTAATAAATAAATAATGTGTATGGCTACTCAGTAGTAGACTTTCTAGACTAGAAATCATTCCATCGGATACTCAACAGTCCACTATCGGAGAGGGCTGTCAGATAAATCTTATGGTAGCTGCATTCATGTCCTGTAAATCACATATTATTGTCTGAGCCCTCTGCCAGGTCATCTATTCTTTTCCCATTTATCAGAAATGCATACAGTATATAGAAAAACTAGAAGCACCATGTAGTCTGGTCTGGCTAATGAGCAGCAAAAGTTAATTTAAAAATACTCTTAGCCTGATTTTTCCTTAAAAATTTTTACATCAAAATATGTAGATTGTTGCTATTTTGGGAAATATTTCCTTCACATGAGGTTTGGTTATTTTTTAATCAAGTTTTCTATTGTAATTTAAAAATTATAATATTCATAATAAGAAACCAGATAATATCATTCTTATGATTCCTTTGTTGTTTTTTGTTTGGATTTTTGCCAGTTGAATTTTTTCTGAATCTTCATATATAATGTTCCTTTCTTTCTTTACTCTCCTAATCTAGTTTTCTTTATCTTTTTGAGTTTATCCATTGCAAATATGTGACATTGTGTTACTGCTTTTGACTTTTTTTTTTCCTTATAAAGGAAAAAATAAAGGATCTTCTTCCTAATAAAGGACCTTATGCTATGCACAAAGATCCTTTATTATTAGGTTCCTCTTACTGTTCGGACCTACTTTCTTACCACTTTGTGGTTATATTTGTTCCCAAGATATGTTGAACTATTTTAAATTACCACATGCCATCATATTTTTGTGTCTTGCATATGTTTTTTCTTTCCCTAAAATTTCCCTCCAAATTTGCTGACTATAATTGTTGGCACCTCTTTATCATTCAGAACCCAGCTTAATTTTCCTCTTCTCAGATCATCATATCTATAGTTGGTATCTTCTTGCTTATCTTCATCTTAGCACCCATCATAGAATATACCATAAATTTTAAGTATACATGTGCGAGTTTGTTACTTTTTTGTCAGTCTCTCTGTCTGTACTCTAGCCCCTATGAAGGTAACAACTATTTATCTTGTTGTTTATTAAAGTGTTCCTAGTACCTAGCACAGTCCTTGGCACATGATCGCTGCTTATTGAAATTTATGGAATAAATAAATAATGCAGCTCACAGCTAAATGGCAGTCTTTTCCTGAAAGCTTTCTTTGACTACTCTGTGCTCCACAACCCTAAGTCTAAGTGAGATACTCATTTAGCATACTCAGTGACCCGTATTAGAATAATTCTTTATTTAAGTTGCCTATGATTTTTATTTCACTACCATTAGACTGTTAAGTTTTATGAAGGTAGGCACTGTGTTTTGTTTTCTATCATGTCTGCAACATCCAGCATAATTATTATTCAACCAAATATTTATATAATGTATAATTAATAAATGTATGGTTATAATGACTATAAATCACTGTAATTTGGGCTTTTGCCTCTTGGTCTTTTTCATTATGACATACTCCCACACTTTTGTGAATTATTAAATCTATATAAAAGTGTTTGTTTTTATTTCGGCAGTTTAGTCATTACCAAATAATATCATGTGCATTTTAAAAACAGGGTCTCATTTTTTTTTTCACTTTTCTTTGGCTTAATCATATTTGCCTCTTTTAAAAAAATCAATTTTATTGAAGCACAATTTATATGCAATATATATGCACACATTTTTAGTGTATAGTTCAATGAATTTTGACATTTATGCAACATGTAGCAGTCATTTCAGTCCAGAAAATTCTCTGTGCCTCATTGCAAGCATTCCCCACCACCGTCACCTCAAGTTGCCACTGATTTTATTTGTTACTGTGGATGAGTTTTACTTATGTTGAATTTAACATAAATG